AGAACTAGTTCAATAAATTATAAGGAGATTTAATCTTTTTCAAATACCAAATTTTTTATCAGTAATTTTTGTTATATTAGATTAAATGATTTTAACATAGTTTAAAACTAAATTTAATTACAATGAGGTACTTTAAAATATGCTAATGACGCAAATTAACTTTTAATGATGTAAATATTATAGCTGTATTTATGTTACAATTATTAGCGTTTAGCATTTTCATTACACAATAAAATCTCATAACAAGACGTGAAATTGTATCTTTTGTACATTAGTTTGTACTACTTTTTTAACATAATATTAAAGCCAGCACCTCTGGTTAGTCCATTAAAAATATAACATTTCAGTAAGAAGCTTAAAAATCAACTTGTTGCTCTCATGTTTGGGGCAGGGGGTTAAGTTTTAGGGTTTCTTGTTCCCATTCTCCTTTTACAGTAATTTTTTTTGTGAAGAATCCTATCGCAATACATATGAACAAAAAAAAAATTGCAAATGTTTTTTTTGTTTAAAAGTTGGTTATTTCAAACATTTAAATACTTTCCTACAAGTTCTTTGCATCCTAAAAATATCATAAGTAGAAAAAAATAAAGGTCATTTTAAAAAGCTCCATGAATTTTCCATGACTTTCAATGAAAATTTAAGAATTCCATGACTTTTTCAATGACCAAATAAAATTCCATGACATTTCCATGATTTTCGTGACCAGTGGCCACCCTGCCTAGAAATTTTTTTTTTTCCCAATAACTTCCAACTTAACAGTTTGCAGCCTTCCAACAATAGCTTGCAGCCTTGTTGGGAATGAATATTAAAAAATATTAAAATATTAAAAAAAAAATTATTTTTGTAATAGAATTGAAAAAATATTAATACAAGTATTTTGCTATTTGAATTTGAAATAAAGATTGTGTTAATGGGTACTTTATGTGTATTATGACAAACTTCAGGTCAGTGTAATATAAAATAGCTTAAGAGCTGAAGAATTTATTTGATGGTAAAGATTGCTACACTTATTTAAAACCTCTTTTAGCATGATTTACTTGAGGGTCATCAGCTATATCACCAAGTATAATAGCCATAAATTTTTTTTTTTTTTTTTTTTTTTTTACATTATTCACCTCCCCAAGGCCCGAGGGGGCCACTACAGTCGAGGAGGCTACTCATTTTTTTGTGTTTTTTATTTTTTTGTTGTATTTCGTGGTACAACCCTCTCTCAACTCTTTAACTCCGAAACACGAACCTTGACAAGCAAGGCCGCTGCGCGGAGAAACTAAGTTGAGCGCGGTACTTCCAGGGACGTGGTGGGAGTCGAACTCCGAACCTCTCGCTTACAAAGCGAGCGCTCTTACCACTACACCACTGCCACAAATGCAATCATTTATTTTGAAAATTTTTTTATAAGCCATTTTATCTAAATAAAAAACCATGTTTACAAGCAGTTTATAAGCCAAAACATTTTAACCTTGTATGTTTTATACTTTTTACTATCATTAAGTAAAATAATTATGTAAGCAACATTAACACACACATATATATATATATATATATATATATATATATATATATATAAATATATATATATATATATATATATATATATATATATATATATATATATATATATATATATATATATATATATATACATATATATATATATATATAAACAGAATTTCCTTAAGCTTTTTTAAGCAATAAGTTTATATTTATTGTATATTTAGTAAAGTTAAGTTTACTCTTGCATTGTGAATGATAAATTGATAAATACTGCTATAAACAATAATTAATAATTTTTCATGTTTCTAATTGGTTGTGCCTCATGTTGTGGTTGAGAAATCCTTTGAAACTGTTTTGCTGCATTACATTTACATAACATTGTTATGGAAGATATTCCAGCAAAATATATTAAAAATAACGATTTTTTTCAAGTTTTATAATTATAAGTTTATAAGCTAAAATGATTATCTAGGTGTCTAATTAGGGGTATTTGGGAATGAGGATTCCATAAAAGATATTTTTGAGTCAATCGGAGCAACCGGTCAAAAGTTGTGGCAAACTGCGTATATAGCGTTTTTTACCCAAAACCTCAATTTTTTAGGTCAAAATTTGAAAACCTAAAAATAATTTTTTTTTTTTTTGGATTACTTTTATATAAGGGCCAAGACATTTAAAAATCATATGGCCTAAGCATTTACTGGGAAAATTTGAAAAATGAACTGCCCTAATTTATATATATATATATATATATATATATATATATATATATATATATATATATATATATATATATATATATATATATATATATATATATATATATATATATATATATATATATATATTATATATATATATATATATATATATATATATATATATATATATATATATATATATATATATATATATATATATATATATATATATATATATATATATATATATATATATATATATATATATATATATATATGTATATATATATATATATATATATAAATGTATATATATATATATATATATATATATATATATATATATATATATATATATATATATATATATATATATATATATATATAAACAAGAAATAGCAAATATTTAACTAAATGCTATTTTAAAAACAAAAAACAAACTTCCTATATATTTTAATTTATAGAAGCCTATTCAGATTATATATATATATTCAATTTATAGAAGCCTATTCACAATCTGATTATGTCTTATAGTGTATGTGCAATAGGGTACATCATACTTTTAAAATTTTTGATTTTTAATTTGGCGGATAATTTTTATGGTGCATTATATGTTAATATTAACTTCCAAAAAAATTTTTTTACCTAAGCGGGATTGCAGTTTTAGAAAAGGTAATATTGTTCATTTATGCATAAATACAAGAAGGGTCAACATTTTTAAATTATTGAAATATAAAACTATTTAGATTTTTTTATATATATTACCATATGCTGTGAAACATAATTTTTTTTCTAAAAAAAATAAATTTTCGTGGGGAAATTTTGAGAAAAGGTCTGCTTTTTCAAGAAGCTTCACTCCGGGAAGAAGATGGTAATAATCAAGAAATTCAAAATTTATGAAACAAAATATACATTTTGCATTATATTTAATATTTTTGTTTTTTGAATATTTCAGTGAGAGACCTTTCTCGACTACTAGCTGATATTGTTCTTCAGCAGTGGATGAAAGCAAATGCTCTTTTTGAACCTCCATCGGTTATTGGAAAGAAAACTTTAATGGAGAAAATTGAATTTTCCTGGAACAAGATCAAAGATATAGCACATGGGAAAGCTTCTAAGACACACATGTCTTCTTGGGAATCAAAACTGGATCAATTGCTAGATATAACATGTTGCAAGTGTGAAATTATGTTATGTGACGAGTTCTGTTGGAAAAATTATTCTTGCGTTGATCAAGTACATATTAAGTGTGCTTGTGTGAATGAGAAAAAAATTCCCAAGATTGAACTTCCATGGCTTAATGCTCAAAGGAAAAAAAAAAGATCTATTTCAAAATACCAGATGGGTTTCAATGACATTAAAGAGACCGCCAGACAGATTTCGCAAGAGGAGAAAAAAAATGAAGAGGAAGTCTGGAGTAGAGAAAAAATTAGAAATGGAAAAAAAAAAAAAAAAGGTAGAAAATGATGACGTTGTTGAATGTTTAATTGAGGATAATTCAGATTTAAAAAAAGAAAAGATTTTAGAAGATCTGCTTCAAAATAAGATTTGGAAAAAAAACTATATGTCAATTAGTCATACTGCAGATAGTTCAATAAGTTTCAATATGTTATGATATTTCACCAGCAGCAACATCAGCTATTGTTACATCCTTTCTTCTAGACCTTATTGAAGCGAAGTATTTGACGGCTGATATGTCTTATCTTAATATATATATATATAAGAAGGACTCAACTTTAGTTTTGGAACAGAATCCTCTAACAAATAAATTTCATATGAGGACTATAAAAGAAAAACATATAACTGTGACCTGTGAGCCTGATGGAAGATAACTTACTCATTACACATCACCTAAAACTATACCACCAAGCAAACCAGCCAAAAAAGCCGCATTTGCTCTTTATAATTGGATGGTTCCAAGGACAATCCATGAGTTCTTAGAGGTGGTAGGTGGAGATTCAACAAACTCCATGACAGGTTCAGGAAAAGATGGAGGTTTGCTGTCAAATCTGGAACAATTAGTAGGGAGAAAATTATTCTGGTCTATTTGTATGCTCCATTGTAATGAATTACCATTGAGGCACATAATTTTTGAACTGGATGGCCCAACTAATTCAAAGGATGGTTTTACTGGCCCTATTGGAAAAGCTTTTTCTAAAGTCAATAGCATAAAAAGACTTAAAACGTTTAAACCTATAGAACAGCTGGAACCTTTAATTGAAATTCAAAAATATTTAATTAAAAAAAAAAATTAGAAATATTTGCCACAGCAGATGGTTTACCACAGCAGAAGCTTTGATTTTCCTCTATATGAGTATTCACACTTTTACTGATGATGTTTTTTAAAAGTTTCATTTAATCATTAAATGGGTAACTCAAGTATATTTCCACATGTGGTATGAAATCAAAGTAAAACACAGTATCGTAGATGGCCCAAGTCACTTAGTAACACTGTTGCGACTGCTGAAAAAACAAGATAATGAAGTTCAAAATATTGTCACACAATACATTCAAAATGGAGCCTACTTTGCCCACTCGGAATCCCTTATTTTAACGTTTTTGTCAAGCTCAGATAAAGAATCGAGGAAGTTTGCCATTAAAACAATTACAGATATAAGGAAAACCTTGCAGAACTGGTCGGAACTCTCAAAATGTACAAAAATAAAAATTTAAGTAATAGGAGAAGTGAAATGGTTTCTAAATGTATAAATGAAAATAAATTGATGTGTGAAACTTATGTATTTTTAAACAAATGAAAAAGTTAAATCACAATAAATTACAAATATCAATAAACTAATAACAAATTACTTTAGAGTTTTTGAAAAACACACTAGCAAAACCCTTCCTTGAAAAAACACTTAAAGAATCCCAAGACGTAATATATGTTGTCAGCGCCTCAGCAGAAAGATCTAAAAAAAAATCCTAATTGTGGCATTAAAGAAGGATATGAATCTTTAACAATAATAATTTTGTATCCTTTTTACCTATAAACAACCTATTTATAATATTACTGTAGGTAATTTTAGCATTAACATTTCAGTAAATAGTTTTACCCTTTATAACTGGAGGAAGTACTGAAGTTGCTATTTTAATTTTAGATTCACACATATGTAATGCCAAGATGGGATAAAATGAAGTAATACTCTTAGATAACTCAATCATTGAACAGTGAACATCTGAAATGATAAAAATATATATATACACACACACAACTACACAGGTTTATGAATGTATGTATATGTATATGTATAAGAAAGTTTTTACATTTATTAGATTATTAATCCTTTTACATTTATTAGATTATTAATGCTTTTCAAAAGTTCGTGAAGATTTTTTACATTTTCTGAGAAGAGTTTTTTTAAATAGTTTTTTGTACAAAATTTAATTAATGTAATTAATTATCATATTATATTATTATAATTATATTTCTTAAAAATAGTTTCAAACTTGTTTATATTCATAAGATCTTTAGGTTATAGTTGGAAAAGATTGCGCACTTGAATAGATTTTATAATTTTAAATTAAATTAGATTCAAAGTTTCAGTAATTAACATTTAAAAATATGAATATCACTGGTCTTTATATCTCTGTCAATTTTTGATTTAAAGTTTTGTTTATTGAAAAACCAGATAGTAGGTGATTATTTAAAAGCAATTTTTTTTACCATTAAAAATTTTATTTTTTTAACAATTATTATATTTGTATAAATAGACTAAAAATTTTATAAATAACAGTTGCTTAAAATTAGATCTTCAAACATAAATAATTGATATTTTTCTTGATCACCATCTGATCAATAAATATTTTAGTTTTGCAATACTTTTATTTTTAATGTTATTATTGTTATTACTTTTAATATTTTATGTCACTCATATATATATATTGTATAATGAATTTGTCGAACTGCTTTAGTTACATTATTTTTATTATATATTAAGTTATTTATATTTTTATTATATATTAAGTTATTTATATTTTTATTATATATTAAGTTATTTATATTTTTATTATATATTAAGTTATCTATATTTTTATTATATATTAAGTTATTTATATTTTTATTATATATTAAGTTATTTATATTTTTATTATATATTAGGTTATATATATTTTTATTGTGCCTTAAGTTATTTAGTTACTATGATAATAAGTAATATTATTAATGAATATTAATTTTATTATTAATGAATATTAATTTTATTATTAATGCTATTATTAATACTATCTTTACTATATACTTATTTAACCTAATAGTTGTAAGAAAAATAAATTTTTTGTCATTACTATGATAATAAGTTTTAGAATATTATTAATACTATCTTTGCTGTATCTATGGTTGTAAGAAAAATAAATTTCTTTTTGTTGTTATAGATTAAAAATGTCTAGTGAAAAGGAACGACTTACCAAATCTATTTATGTAGTATATTTAAAAGCTTTTGCAAACAAACCAAAGCAAAAGTCTCAAGAAGAAACAAACAAAATTTGGCCTGAGAATAAAACAGACCAAAATTTTATCCAAATTAAATGTAGAAGAAAAAAAATTAAAAGAGCTAAAACAAATTAAACTCCAAAATAAAGTTGGTATTTTATCTTACTGGACAAAATTCCCAAACCATGTACCGAATACACCAAAAGTAAAAAAGAAAATTCTAACTTGTCATAAGTTTTAAAAAAACAAGCCCCAAAACAAGATCAATTAAATAATCAAATTTTTATTTTATAAAATGATATTGCATATCTTACTGAAAGAAGAAATTCCAACTTGTTATCACAAGAAGACTACCAAATACTAGGGTAAAAGCAAAAACTTTTGGTTGAAAAAAACAAAGATCTTGTACTTCGTCAAAAAGTCACTGAATGTCAAACAGCTACCAGACTAAAAAGAAAAAAAGCAATAGAAGCTTTAGATTCAGATATTAGAAAAAAGTTGTGTGGAATTAAAATTCAGTATCAAAAGGTTGACTGCTAGCCTGTGATCAGGACAGTTTAATAGAAGCAATTGTAGATATTGCCATGAAAGGGTCTGCATCTGATGACTGTAAACTAAATTGTCAGCTGCAAATAAATAAGCACCAATGATGATGCATATATAGTACAAGGTGACTTTAGCTGATTATAATTTTGTAATTGCTCCTCAACACAAACTTATTCCTTCATTAATTGCAGCCATAGAAATTAAAAAAGATTGCATGGAAAAACAAGAAGTCACATACTCTGGCTCAACATACATAACAATCAGAAGTGCAAAACATGATTCATCAACAGCACTTATTCAATTAGAAGACATGAACAGAATAAACCATCTTCTTGCATTTAAAAACAGCTTATTTACTGAAGATGGAGTTAATAAACTAGTCATGATTATAACTGTTGATGGTGATGAAAATCCAAGATATGAAAAAACAATTCATTGTGCCAAGACTTATTTCAAAGAGCATGACATTGATGGAATTTTTGTGGCCAATAATGCTCCTGGCAAAAATGCCTTTAACAGGGTAGAAAGAAGAATGGCTCTGCTAAGTCATGACCTAGTAGGAATTGTACTTCCATTTGATCATTTTAAAAGCCATCTTAATTCAAGAGAAGAGACAACAGACAAAGTTATGGAGAAGGCAAATTTTGCCAAAACAAGTGAAGTTCTTGCAAAAATTTGGTCACAGTCATTGATCAATCATGTTCAAGCATTCAAAATCACCAAGATAAAAAAGATTTAATTTTAGTTGATATTTTTGAAGTAAGACATCATAATACTATTAAAATCAATGCTACCCATGCAAGAACATTTTTACACAAATTCCAGCGAAAAGGCCAGTAGAACAACAATATTATAGAGAATGTTAGAAACAACAAATAGGAAGTAAATAGCTTTGTTAATAATATTATTAAGAATAATAATAATGAATATGACTATTAGGAACGCAACAAACAAAATAAAAATAATGGAACAAACTAAATAACAAAAATGCAACTAAATAACAATAATGCGACAATATAAATCAATAACATAAAGCATTAATATAAGAAATAAAATGAAGAACCAATTAGAAGAAGAACCAAAAAGAACCAAAGTAATGAAATGAAGAAATTAAGCAATGAAATGATGAATTTATTTAAGTAATAAAAAAGTTATATGGTAACTTAACAATGAACCTGCTGAAAATACCTGCAAAAGTAGATGAAAATTCTTCAATATCTTCAAAATCTATTTTGATGAAAATGCTTCTGGAATTATTTAAGCCTGAATCACAATCCTATTTAAGATAAATTGTGAAATTAATATTAGTATTTACTAACTAAAAGATTATTATAAAAAATGTTCACAAATATATATTTAAAAAAAAAAGTTGCATAGCTATAACTTGGGGCAAAAAAATAAAATTCCTTCAAGTTCCGTTATAAATATATTTACAAAGGAACTTTGTAAATATATTTATAACGGAACTTTAAGGAATTTTATTTTTAGAGCATGCAGGGACAGATACAGTAAACCAATGAGACTTGAATGAGAGCTGAATGACAAGCAAGAATGAGTTTTAGTTGATAAAATTAGTTGAGATAATAGCTCCTTTGAGCAGCAAACATGATAGTATCAGTAGAAAAGAAGAAGATCAATTTTATGATGATGGAAAAGAGACTCAAGCTTAGCAGATAGAGCAGGTCCAACTATGTTTACAATGTGTTTTTGGAATTTAATTAGAAGAGAAAAAGTATAATTAGAAGAACCAGTCCAAATATGTTTAAGAGGTAGAGAATAGAATCAGGAATAAGAAAATGGTGAGCACAATAAAAAGAAACAAACTTAACGGATGCTATTTTAGCAATCAATTGTATATATGGTATCCATGAAAGGTCAGTAGCAAATGATAATCAAAGAAGATGTAAAGAAGAGGACTCAGTGAGATGGTTTCCATTCATTAATATAGGAATGTTGACAGTGCTACAATAATTGTTTGCAGTAAATAACTGAGTTTTATTGGAATTAAAACTTACAAGCCACTGTGAGACCCAACCTGTCACAAAAGTGAGATCAGATTCAAGATCAACTGACTGAACTAAGCAATCAAAAAGAGAAGAATTTTTGTCAAGAGATTATTATAAAGTTGAGTCATTAGCAAAATGAGCTACTTTAGATGTCAGGTTTTCAGAAAGATCTTTAATGTAGATAAGAAACAAAACAGAAACTTGAGGTACCCCAGAAGTTGCTAAAAATGAAAAAGAATGTTGGCCTTCGAGGATGACTTTAATAAAGCAGTTAGAAAGAAACGATTTGATAACCTCTCTTTTTCAGATACATCATATGAAACAAGATTATGGAAAAGACTAGCAAGCCAAAATTTGTTGAAAACTAGATATGTCAAAAGCAATAGCCCTAGCCTCTCTGTCTCCATTTAATGTATGATAAAATCTTTCAGTCACAGCAGTTAGCAAGTTAGCTGTAGAGCGAAAGGATTGAAAACCATATTGATTGTCTGACAGTAAGTTATTTGACTCAAGATAGGAAGTGAGAAATTTGTTGCTTAAAGACTCAAAGACCTAGCTAATAATAATAATAAAATAATAATTACTAATAAAAGAAGACTGATCGGACTATAATTAGAGGGGTCATAATGTTTACAGAGTTTTTGAAAATTGGAACAACAGATGTCATTTTCAAGCAGGCAAAAAAACAAGACTCAGTCAATATATATTATTATATCAATCTTATTAAATAGTTTAGAGTGAAATGAAGAGAGTTCTGGAGAACAAGTTTGTAAGACTTTGAAAGGAATGTTGTCTGGACCTCAAGTTGTAGACGAATTTAATTCTGGGGTGCTGGTGGGAAGCTGGGGTGATATAAATGGCCAACAATGGGTTAATGATGCTTTTGAAGATTTTCCAAAAGTCTCTAGAGCCTAACTTCTGAGATACCAGATTTAGTGAACTGAGAATAATGGGGCTTAATCTTTTTACATTGATTTCTTGCAATAATAATTATCTGTTTGTTCTCAAGAATTGTTGTTTAAATAAAATGGAAAAAATTATTACAATTAGATAAAATAGCTGCACAAAAACGTGAAAACCATGGAGTAGAATGAGGTTTACAGTTGCCAGTGAAGAAAAGTGAGAGGACACGGTGAATTTGATCAGAAATTACATCTAAAAGAGTGCAGTCTTGGGAAAAAGGAGAATAATAAAAAACAAAGAGAAAGTTGATAGAGTGAAGAGGTGCTAAGCCTCTATACGCATGTATACGCCTAAGTCAAGTATGTGACTATTGCAATCTTTGCGAACATAGATGACTTTATTGATGATTATTAAAATCTTGGAAATTATTTTCTGGAAATCTCAGAAAATTATTTTTACAAAATATTCTGAAAATCCTGGAAAAATATTCAAAAAGATTATGTGGGTAAATTCTATAAAGTAACTAAGAACTACTGAATAATTATGTTTTTCTTAAATTATTTAAAATCAAGTATAATATCTCAGTTTTACTGTAAACAATCTACAAAGGGTAATAATTAATTTTCTTTTTAGATATAAAATGTCAGATAATGGTTTAGAAATCAATACTTTTTACTCTTTTAACTTTCGGTTGCAAAACATCCGTCCGCTTTTCTAAGGCATTACTTCCAAGGTATATGTAATTCAAAGGACATTTTTTTATCTTTTAGGTTTAAAAATTTCAACTTTGTTCCTGTTTTATTTTGAGCCAAAAATGATCTTTTATCATTTTTGGCTCAATAAAACAAGTTAAAATTGTTTTTAACAGTTCGATTTGCTCTTCATAAATTCAATGGACTAATGGTTCTTTTTGTTCAAAAGTTAAAATAAATAATTTAAAAATAGGAAGAATTTCAACATACAAATTAATATAAAGTAAGGTTTCATTACATCAGAAAAATAAACTTTTAACAATTCTAGCTTTTGTTTATGCACCTTGTTTTGTTAGCTTTTTCTACTGCATTTTACATTTTATTTTTTCGATTAGATTTTTACTTTCATTTGACAGACTTAAAATTTTGTCACTCTCATCTTTATACAGAGAGATGTTTTGAGAGATGTACGTAACAGAGAGATGTACTGTTTTGATAACTAAGAAAAAAAAAAAAAGGTGAAAGCAGACATCATCTCAAGCATAGGAAAAGTGAAGACCGTAGCAGATAACCATAGATAAGAAACCTTTTGCTTTGGAGTGTTGTATGTGACACCTGTGACACAGACAACCATATATTATACATCATATCTAAAACATCAAATCAAATAATATATAATTATGTTAAAATTTTACATTTCAATGTTCACTTAGGGAATTACCACTCTAGCGTTATCTTTCTTATAAAAAAAAGTATTTAAAAAAGTATTAAAAGTATTATTCTTGCTGAATAATACTTTTTATTATTATCTTTCTCTTGAAACCAATTTAAAGAAAAAAAATTTTTTAATATTTTTTCCCACCCCAGAAATGTCAGACACACTCTAAAACCGCTTTTAATTATTTCTTTATAATAGTAATAATTGACAAAAATAGTTTTGTAAACTTATAAAACGGAATTTACATCAATTAACTTCCTATGAAAAAGAATATCTAATATTCAAAAATGTTAATTTGCATGAATTAAAAAAAAATTATTGAGAAAATTGATCTCAAGAAAATTTCAGTTATAAAAAACATATTTGCTTAATTTTTTCACAAATCGATAGCAAAAAACATCCGGAAATTTCAGAAAACCTAAAGAAGTTTTAAATTTCCGTAATTCTGGGAATTCTCTCAAAAAATTCATCTATGTTGAGAATCAAAGGATTGTACACATTAACACTGAGATCTGAAGAAAGAATAGCAGAATTTAATTAGTCTCGCTATGAGCAAGCAAATCTTATGAATTTTGCAAGAGGTAAGTTCAACTGACAGAAGATTGCTTTGCAGACCATGAATATTTGTAAAAGATATATTTAAACAGTTAAGTGTGGGGATGGATTTTAATGTTTAACATTTTAGGTTACTTTTGGCATATTTAAGTTTAAAGAGAACTTGACTCATTTATAAATAGAGTACAGCCTCCTAAGCAATAAGCTATGCAATTGTCTCAGCCCTGTTAATTAACCCTAACTCATAACATAGGGCTCCTTATGTTGCCTCAATAATGTGCAACAAAAACATTAACAGGGACACCATCCATGATATTTTGCAGCTGTTGATGGAATCAGTCTCTCTGAGAGCTACCACAGAGTTTGGGAAACCTTACTACCAGTCAGCCTCAGAACCATTAAACTGATTTTTTAAGTTGGAATTTTTTTCTCCTAGCCTTTGCCTAAAAAAACACACCCTACAAAGCAGAAGGACTAGGGCAGATAGTACAGGGTTACATGATACCAGTAGCAGGGTGATTGTGATGATTCTGAACCTGACCTGATCTGGATTTCCTTGTCAAAAATTTTTCATTGTCAAAGAGTCAAAGTCTTTTTCTTCTATTGACATTTGTAGTCTAGTACCCAATTTTGTACATTAATGAAAATGAAAACTCTTTCTAAAAATAGAGTTCCTGGGAAAGATTGGAAAGATTTCTTTTAAGAAATGTCATGACTCTCGAGAGTTTAATAAAAGTTGTTGACCGATTTTTTAATACTCAGTTAGATAAAACTAATAATCATAACATTGTACTAATGTAGTAGTAGTAGTGGTAGTGGTAGTGGTAGTGGTAGTGGTAGTGGTAGTGGTAGTGGTAGTAGTAGTAGTAGTAGTAGTAGTAGTAGTAGTAGTAGTAGTAGTAGTAGTAGTAGTAGTAGTAGTAGTAGTAGTAGTAGTAGTAGTAGTAGTAATAGTATTTTCAATCTTGATGAGTAATGAAGAAAGTATTTGGATATCCAGAAAGATGAATATGAACTGGCTGCTTTTTCTGGTAAACTATGTACTCTGTATTGTTCTATGTATTTTTTCAAGGGAGAAAGTTATCTGTATTCTAAATAGATATAAAATGGACCACCAGGATGTCCTTTTGGGACAACAGCAAGTGGATTGATGCATCCTACCCTATGAAAGTATATATTTAAGTATTCTACAATTCCGAATAACCATAGAACATACGAACATTTAAATGTTATAAATAGTTTTAAAAATGGTAGCATAAAGTAAAACTATTTGACAGGAAAAATTAAAATAAACAATTTGTTAAAAGCAGTTTCCTTTTTTTTCAAAGGTGGAAATCGTCAACCAAAAATCGGTCATGCTTATAGTAATATATAAATATATATATATTTTTTTGTGTCTTTTATAAAGTTTGAGGTGCTTTAGTTACTGTTTTAGCTAAACTATTTAATAAGTACTTGACTGAGTCTTGTTTTCCTGCCTGCTGGAAAATGGCATCTGTTGTTCCAATTTTCCAAAAACTCCAGTGAACATTCTGACTCCTCCAATAATCGTCTGATCAATCTTCTTTCTGTTATTGGCAAGTTCTTTGAGTCTTTGATTAACAAATATCTTACATCTACCTTGAGTCAACTAAATTGCTGGCAGACAACCCATACAGTTTTCGATCCTCTCGCTCTACGGCTGACTAGCTCACTGCTGTGACTGAAAGATTTTATTGTGCATTAAATGGAGGTGGAGAGGTTAGGGCTATTGCTCTTGACATATTTAAAGTTTTTGACAAAGTTTGGCATGCTAGTCTTCTCTATAAGCTTGTTTCATATGATGTATCTAAGAAAGTTTTTGAGATCATCAAATCATTTCTTCCTAATTGCTTTATTAAAGTCATCCTAAAAAGCCACCATTCTTCTTGATTTCCAGTAACTTATAGGGTACTTTACAGTTTTATCCATGGTCCTATTTTGTTTCTTATCTACATTAATGATCTTCCCGACAACCTTTTATCTAAAGTAGCTCTTTTTGCTGATGACTCAAACTAAAACTTCAGTTTTGACAAAAAGTATTCTTTTTTTAATTGCTTAGAACAGGCAGCCGATCTTGAATCTGATCTCACTTCTGTAACAGCTTTTTTGCTTTGCATTTAAATTTTTTTAATATTTCATGATAGAACACTTTTATCATAGAACACAACTTTATTAACATATTCATTGAAGCAATATTTTTGTGAGTTAAGTATGATAAATTATTTTTATTTCAACGCCCTCCATATTTAACACCCTTCACATTTAACACTTCATATGGTATGAATAGGCTTCCATAATGCCTTTTCTTTTTATGACTTTACAGAACAGTGAAAGAAATTTTTTAGAACCAGATGCTCAGATACTCTTTCTGGCGTCTAGATGTTTTGCAAATCAAGAGAGATTTTTTTTTTGTAATACTAGAAGTAGAAAAATACTAAAAGAACACTAGAAGTATTATTAATTAAGATTAGAAGCACTATATCTATTATTATGTAAAAATGCAAGTGTTCATGTTTATATAAATTGTTTACAAAAACATCACAAAGCAGAACTGATTTTCTAAGCTAAAAGTAAAAAATTTTATATAATTGTAAATAAAAATATAAAACTTATACAGAGATATGAAAATTAAACAATAAAGTTTACCAGATTTCTGTATGAACATTCAAGTATGTCAGGTATACAAGCAATAAAAACAGGATTGTTTTTTATAACATCATGGTGTAAAAATGAATTCCACACTTTTGTTGCAGCTAAGCTTATAATCTAAAATAAATTTACATTTATTTGTAAATAAAACTTTTATGTTATCGTTAACAAAAAATTTAAGTCAGATGTTTTAACTTTTTGTTAAAGATTTTAAACTGGTTTTCATTAGAGAACCAATATATTTAGAAAGCATACATATGGAAAAACTAGTGTATAATGAATCAAAATAAAAACATGATATTTTGAACAAAAACTTGTTTTAAATTATTCAAATAATTTCAATTTTTTTAAACGTTTTGACAATTTAAATTTAAAAAAATTTATAATTTAGTAACAAAAACTTATTTGGCAAATGAATAAAATCAAAAATAAGTGTTTTATTATTGTATGATAAAAATTTGTAATTTTCTAACTAACTAAATTGGCATAAAAAAATTCTTATTTGTCTTGAATGTTTTAATACAACTTTTTTTTTATTTTTGTAATTTAGTTACATTTTTTTTAATTTTAGTTAAATTTTTTTTTATTTTAGTTACATTTTTTTTTTTTTTTGTATTTTAGTTACATTTTTTGATGCCAATGCATTGGCATACTCTTGGAATTACAATCTACTCACAGAAATTTTTTTCTTTTCAAATTTTTTTTATTAAGCATCAATATATTTGAAGCCTATTTGAATGTTATAAGATAAATGTGATAAATCTGTTTTCTAACTTTAATTTAATTATATTTTATGATATTAAATATTATGATATACTTTCTCTAAGAGTATATTATGATATATTTTCTCTAAGAGTATTACAAATCTTTTTGGAAAAAAAAATACTGTTAAAATGACCTAAATATTAACTTTATTCGTAAAACGATTAACTTCATTTTTTTAAAACCCAGAATTTCCTCTGCAGAGAATAAAAACAAATTTTGCAAACTCTTTCAACTTTTGTAATTTTAGAAATAATATAATTTGCAATATTAAAAAAACAATTTTGCTCAGCATTACATAAAACTAAGTTAGACATTTTATCCCAATCTTTGGCTAAAACAATGAACTTCAATCTTGATAAGAATTGACTATCGTCTATATTACAACTGTTCATTAATTTTTTGTCAAGAGTTGGGCAACACACGTGTTTCATTTTTAAATTAAAGAGCTGTATGAACTACTTGTTTTGCACTAGTGAAAAAAGATTTTCAAAGCTGGGTAAGTCATAAGAAAATCAATTTCTTTTCTGTTAGATATGTAACTTGCAAAAAATAATTGATGCTTAACCAAAATCTTGTATAAAGGAATTAGAACATTTTATTAATAAAATTCATAAAAAACTTTAATAGCTGTAACCCGAAAAGTTGTGACCTTGAAAAGTTGTGACCTGAAAATTTTTTTTTTGAACTTACTTAAATCTCTAAAAACTGCACAATTGAAGTGAACTGTTGTAAGATTATAGTTGCACCACAAAAAACAAATATTTTCAACATAAATTTAAATATCTTTAGTACTTTTTAGCATCTTTATTACTAAGTGATTAAAGTTGTTTATTAAACTATTTTAAGCTAATCAACAAATTACTTTATAATAGATAAATTAATAAATTATAACTAAATCTAACAATTTAAATAATTAAAAATACTTACTATGCTATCATGCATAGAAAATTGAAGCATTAGCCTTATATAACTAAATCTAACAATTTAAATAATTAAAAATACTTACTATGCTATCATGCATAGAAAATTGAAGCATTAGCCTTATATAACTAAATCTAACAATTTAAATAATTAAAAATACTTACTATGCTATCATGCATAGAAAATTGAAGCATTAGCCTTATATAACTAAATCTAACAATTTAAATAATTAAAAATACTTACTATGCTATCATGCATAGAAAATTGAAGCATTAGCCTTATATAACTAAATCTAACAATTTAAATAATTAAAAATACTTACTATGCTATCATGCATAGAAAATTGAAGCATTAGCCTTATATAACTAAATCTAACAATTTAAATAATTAAAAATACTTACTATGCTATCATGCATAGAAAATTGAAGCATTAGCTTTATATAAGAATTTAAAAGCTCAACTTCGAAATGATTGTTACTCTGAAATATAAAAAAGTTTTAAATATTTTCATATCTAAAGTGTCAATGTATATAAATTATTTTTTTATCATTTAGAATAAATTTTAAAAATGCTCAAATAGTTTTAAATAAATTATAGAATACATATTGTAGTAATAATAAAAATCCAAATGATTGGTAAAGATGATGTCAATCAAACTATGTAAAAATGATGTCACTCAAACTATGTAAGGATGATGTTATTCAAACTATGAGACATTTAAAATTGTTATTTTAATTTTTTTTTTAATTATTTTTAGTAATAGTTTTTTTTAATTTTCATCTTATAAAATGTTTCCAAACATCGGAATTACTTTTTTTGGTATATTGCACGTAAGAAGCCATTATAATTTACTTTAAGTAAGTTTACTGTTTAAATAATTTAATTTAATTAAAACTAGAACTATAAAATAGTCACAAACAAATAATGTTTGAGATAAAAAATTTTAAGAAACTTTAATGCGACTAAATACAAACAAATTTTAAGAACGTAATTGCAAATTGCAATATTCAAAAACATGATTCGCAGAATTTCGAATTTGTAACATTTAAATAACAAAATTATATATATATTAGGAATTTACAATATAAAAATAGTCCAATCTCAACCAAAGAAATTAAATTTTAAAATGTTTAACCAAATATAAAAAATTTAGGCAACTGTAAAGTATTTTTTGTTTTAGACTTGAAAAGTCAACAGGATTACGGGATCCCAGGATTCCCTATCCTAACTTACATGAAATGGGAAACATCTCAAAACTTGATGAGCGGATACCACAATTGAATGCTAGGTCATTAAGCAGTCATCTGCACAAACCTATTTTCTTTGCACCACATATTTAATTGGCATTATTGTCATAATAAGGATTGGGTACTCTACATAACCATACCATGAGATTCCAGTGGCTAGGACCAGAGCAACCAGCAAAATGCCCAAGCTCAAATTGTAAAATTAACGCAATAAAAAATATATGAGCTTGGCTGGGAAGCCTCATCATACTTGCTTAACTTAATGCCAACTAAGCAACAGTTTATAAAATGAAAGTTTCAACAACAAGGAGGTACTTTGAAAGCAGCCTAATCACTTCTTTGATTTAAAACCTTTTAGAAAAGTCAACAGCATTCTTTTGTTGATTGTTGGCAAGATTATTTGTTTGGCAAGAGATTACAAAGATGGTTTCGTGTATTGGCAAAGATTAGTAATTAAAAATAAATAACAAAAAAATAAATAACAAAAAAATAAATAACATTTTTATGAACAAATAAAAAAAATATATATTTTTGAAAAAACACTTATTATAACTCAGCTAACCCAATTATTATTATTATTATTATCATTATTATTGTTGTTGTTATTATTATTATTATTATTATTATTATTATTATTATTATTATTATTATTATTATTATTATTATTATTATTATTATTATTATTATTATTATTATTATTATTAAGATAAAAACAATAATAATAATAACAACATCAGCAATAACAACATAAACAATAACAACAACAAAAATTTATTAGAAATAAGAATAAAAATAGGATGGGAGTAATCTGAGCCTATTTTCACCGATTTCTGACTTAAAGCAAAAAATATATTTAAAATTTTTTCTTAAAACCATGATTATACATCATTTAAAAACTATGAATCATTTTCTTAAAACTAATTAAACCTAATTATCTGGTAATTTTAATTCCAGATAAAACATTTTCTAAGTGTTAGGCCCTAACTTTAAAACCCTTTTTCTGAAGCTTAAGATTTTTGATAATATACAGAAGAAAAAAACTTCTACCTAACACCTTTCTTTTGAAAAACTGATAAATGTTGATTATACCCATATTACCCAACCCTACCCTATGAATGATTTTATTATGACATATACCCTATGAATGATTTTATAATAATAGTAATGTCAATAAAAAGAGAAAAGAGAGAGAAAAGTAAAACTATCAATTAGTTTAAACTCCAATTAAAAAGACAAAAAAGATAAGAAAATAACTAATAATAATAAACCAATAAAGCAAAATTAAAAAAACTAAAAAAACATATTAAATATTAAAAAATATATAAAAATACAACCCTCAGAATTTGGAAATATGACGTCGACAATAAGTAATCGACCTCAATCTTTTAGAGGTCAGCATCAGGTCGGCAAAAAAAAAATTGATAAAAAGGTCTAACCATAAAACATAGAGATAAGTTATATTTTGCCAACCTTAAACACTTTAGGCTCAGCAGTTAGGTCAGCATTACCAAAAGCCAACTCTAATTCTGAGGGCTGAAAATATAAATATATAGGAAAGGAGGAAAGAGAGATATGAGGTTATGATGGATATAGATTTTATCTATATTTACTACTTTGTAATTGCGTTTATTTATTTTATTTTCTTTAAAAAAAAAGAAGCATAATAACTACATTAAAAAAAAATTAAATAAATAAGATTTACTGTATTATCAGCAATATGACATCTCCCAAAGATTGATAAGGTCTCAATAAGTTTCTTTAAAAACATATACTCTTCATTGTTTTGAATAGCCAACTCATTTGATTTTCTAGAGTTTTACTAAAATTTATTTACTAAAAACAATTTACTAAAAATATTTATCAAAAAAATGCATTATTAAAAGTTAAATGAAAATATAAGCTTCAGATTTTAATAATAATTGATCTTTAATTTAAGAAAGTGAAGCCAGTAAACTTCATTTAATTAACAATTTTACAAGAATAGATGAATAGCCTTAAATAAGCTACAAGAATGCATGTGCAAGGCTTGTGCCTATATACACAATTGGGATTTTTTAATAAAGTTGATTTAAATTTGAAAATTTCAAAAAATTTTGAAATTTAAATCCTTGAGTTTAAAAAATTCTAGGACATTTCCAGTATTTTAAAGAAAAAAGAATAAATTTCAGGACTTTCCAGGACATTCCAGGACACTAGTCGAATTCCAGGACTTTCCAGGACTGTGGGAACCCTAGTTTTATACAACTAATATTTAACAAAAATACGGACAAATTCTTATTAATTAACGGAATAATTAACACATTAATTAATGGCAATAATTCAAGATAGATAGTAATTCAAAGTAATTTAAATTGTCAAAATGTTGTAACATGCGTTAAAAAACATATTATATTTGGTATTTTCCAATTTATGTGTCATATTTGGCATTTGTCTATTAACAAGGAAAATTAAAAAACTAACAAAATTGAGAAATACAAGTTTTCTCTTCCAATTCTCATTTATTTAAAGAAAAGTAACAAGTAAACTTCTCATCTAAAAAAAGACACAAAAAAATATATATTATATACAACTCTTATTCATTCGAAATTTAATTACACGAAACTTTTATTTTTTTTTTTGTTCTACTCTTTTATAAAAAGAGCGCGCGATGAAATAAAAACTTTTCTTTCTTGACAGAATTAAACTTAGAGATAAATTAAATTAGAAAAAAATCAACAATGAGCAAAGCAACTAACAGTTTAATCTGGGACTATTTAGATATTAATGGAAATAATCAACATAAACAACATTACCAACAACAATAATCAAATAAACAACACAATATTGCATGATTTTAGGGATTTTTTATTTTTATTAATTAGTCGTTCTAAATAATAAGTAAACTTAGTTCAAGTTAATATTTTAATATTTACAGTTGCAATATAAAAAAAAAAAAAATGATTAATATTAAACTTTTTATTTAGTTATTTATTTTTTACCTACATTTGTTATAAAAAACTTTAGAACCCCCGTCATTAAAATAATTTGTTTTAAATATATTTCGATGTGATTATTTAAACTAGTTTTTTCGTTTGACTTCCCGAACTTCATGCAAAGTAAATTCAGACGAAATATCGTCTAACCAAATAAGAATGTTGTAACTAATTTTATACAGGTAATTATTATAAAACAATTTTTTATCAGAATCTTGATTGAGGTAATTACTTCATCAATTATTAACATTAAATATAGCGCAATAACAATTTAAAGCAACAAATGAGCATAAAATATTTGAGGTTTATAATATTTTTTTAAATTTTAAACTAAAAAATAAATAATTAACAAATAATGAAAAAATTTATGAATAGAAAAAAATTTTCCGGAGTTTCATTTGCAAAAGTCTACCGTGACGTCAAATACAAAAACTTTTATGAATTATATGCGCTTCAAAGGAATCACTGAAGTCTGTAGATTGTGACATAATTTAAAGACTCCAAGTTTTTGAATAAAATGGAGAAGGCGAGCTTTGGCTAAAACAACAACATTATTTTTTCTCGGTATGCATTCATTATTTATTTTTAATCAAAAAAAACTTGGTTCAAACCTTTTTTTTAACATTATTTTTAATAAAAACACATTATGTGTGAATATATGAAAACTTTCATTTAAAAGTAGTTAGACATAAAGAAAAATTTCATTTCATGTAGTTTGTTTTTTTTTAATTGTTTTATAAGAAATGCAATAAACTTTCACTAAAATATATTTATCTATAAAAGCAACACCTTTTTATTAAAAAATAAATTTATCTATAAAAAGCAACACCTTTTTATTAAAAAATAAATACTAATAACAAGACAAATCTTATAAATACTGAATGGACAAAGTTGTAAGTAATAAAAAACAACTAATAGACAAAATTGCAAAAAATTTATACCAGCAATTAAAAACTTTGTTAAAGAGATAACACACCTTGCTGCTTCATGCAAAATATTTAAATCATTAATATCCATAGTTGAAAGCAAATCTAATTTTTGATGGCTGTACCCCTAGTAATAAAAATAAAATAATAATATATTGAACGACTTTTTATAGAGTTAAACTTGAATTCAAAAATACTTTTCTTTTAATTACATTATTTCTTCTTATTAACATAACTTCTCCATCTTTTTTTTTTTTTTTTTTTTTTAAAAAAACATTTTTATTTAATATACCTTTCTTTCAAATATAGCTTGAAGACAGCAACACCCTTTGAACTTCAAGTAATCATACTTGAGTAGAACAAACAATGATTTAAATAGTAGCTTATCTTGAAAAAATAGATGTTCCAAGTTTACCCAAGTTACAAAAGTTAAAATGGCATCAAGAGCTGCATCAGCTACTTGATTATTTATGTTGTTGAGCTAAATAACAAGTTACATATTAATAAGTCTTTTAAAAGTTGATTATTAAACTATATGGTAAAATAATTTAACATTTAAAGACTGACAAATTTTATGTTTAAATTTAATTTAAGTTTTTTTTTTAAATATTATGTAACTCTCTCTCTCTCTTTCTCTCTCTCTCTCTCTCTCTCTCTCTCTCTTTATATATATATATATATATATATATATATATATATATATATATATATATATATATATATATATATATATATATATATATATATATATATATATATTGATTGATTATGTATTATATAAAATAATACAAAACTCTTGTACAAAAAACAGTGCTTGATATTATGATAATAGAGCAATATATATATATATATATATATATATATATATATATATTTTATTTAAATGAAGAAAAACAACATTATAATAGTACTTAAAGTTTCATGCCTTTCGGCAATCATCAGCTATTAATTAAAAATTAATGTTTAAAAAACGAATCAAAATTTTACAGTAGAATGAGTTCTGACGTAATTTGAAAAGGCGCAATCATTTAATCTCCAGTATCAAACGAAGATAACAGGAATTTATTTAAATGTCGACATTTAGATAATATTTCGTATAAAAATTTTTCTACCGTAAAATTTTAATTCGTTTTTTAAACATTAATTTTTAATTTTTAATTTGTAATTAATAGCTGATGATTGCCGAAAGGCACGAAACTTATATATATATATATATATATATATATATATATATATATATATATATATATATATATATATATATATATATATATATATATACATACTAAAAAATAATACCCCCTAAACTTGGGGCAAATATATAAAAAATGAGCCTCAAAAAGTTTGAGCTCTATCGGATCCTTTTTGACCCCCCTCAAGCCAATAATTTAGGGGGAAAATGACTGAAAACTGGTCATTTTCGGACATCTTGAAGGGGTAATTTTTTTTCACTATATATATATAGACCTATATTTTAGTTTAAAAATATATGGTTTTTTTGTTACCCCTCAAAAATATTTTTTTGGGTCGTATTGAAAATCATGAAAATTGGTAATTTTTTGAAATTTTTCAGTTATTCCTATTGTTATATATTTATATTTTGGTGCAACTTATGATTTTTCTAATAGTTTTAGATTAGTACATACAATAAACAAAATAAAAATGAGTGAAGCACAACTTAAATCAAAGAAAAATGAAAAAATAAAAGGAAAAAATGTCTATCATTACAAAAGAGGATATTAAGGTAGCTATTGATGCATATCCATATCCATGTATAATTCATTTTGATGGCAAGACCTTGTTTGAGCTAAATAGGAGAAAGGAAAAAGGAAAAGTATTAAAGAGGGACAGAATGGCTGTTTAAGTTAACATTAATGGAGAGACTTACCTACTTGGAGTACCTCCGCTAGCATCATCCACTGGTGAAGATCAGTTCTTAGGTCAAATTTAATTAAAGAGTATCAAATTATGTCAAAAACTAGCAAAATATGCTTTGATACAACGTCATCCAATACTGGGACAAATAAAGGATCAGTTTCCAGAATATCTAAAAAACTAGATAAGTATCTTCTCCAAATAGCCTGTAGACATCACGTTATTGAATTAAGAACGCTTCATTTTTGGAAATTAGTGACCAATGACAAAACTAATGGACCTGATAATCCTCTATTCAAAAAGATATTTTTGAAGAACCTAATCATAATCCAGTTGTTACAATTTGATTGGAATAAGGTTAAAAGCTCTCTTTTAAAAAAGGCAGCTAATAGGTCATTGATATTTTGCAGAGTTTATGTTGATAAACCAGGTATTATAAGAGATGATAGAAGTGAGCTTGCAGAATCAGTTGTCACTTATTTATCCCCTTTTACATATAAAGTAAGAAAAACTGGTGCTATTCATCATGTAAGATTTTTAGGAAAAGCAATTAATTATGTAAAGCTTCAACTCCTTTCAAATCAACTTGCTTTTGTTCAAGAAAATGATAAGCTAAAAACTTAAATTAAGTTTATATCTTTGCATGCTTTTATGCAAAATGATATCTACAATCTAAGGTTGTCGTTTAAGCTCCGTTTCTTTATTTTACAGCCATACATCAAAGCATCTGTACAAGAATGTATGTACAAATTCAATAGCTGTTGATGCTGTATTTGAGTCTCAGTATAAGCATTGTTGGTATTTGGATTAAACCATGATACCTCTAGCTTTGCTAGATAATGAGTTAACATTAGAAGAAAAGGAAAATTTGCATAAGCAATTCTGTCATTTGATATGTTTAGCTCTGACTACTATAAGCCTGAGAACAAAGTATAAGTTGACATTAAGGAAATTTATATAAGGGATACAAATATTGGTAAAAAACCACCATCCTTGTTAGTTAACGACTTATCTTAATTTTTGACATGATTGGGCTTAATAATCAATGTGTTTAAGAGTGGCTCTCACTTACACCAAACTATTGGCATACTTAGTCATGCTTCAAAAGTTTTCAAAAATATGCTGAAACTTTGATTTTTGTAAATGAACATTTAGAACGGCCTATAGGTATCATGGAACAGTATATTCATAGATATTCCGATGAAATTGAAAAACAGAATAGATTGCTCAGAGTAAACAAAGTTCAATCTGTATTTAGATCACCAAAGCAAAAATCCAGTACAATACCAAAAAGTAAATTTAATGATGGTCTTGGTGTGATACAGAAAGAGATAAACTTGGTAACATAATTAGATTGTCAAATGTATTTTTTTATAAAATTAAAAAAAATACATTTATCTTTTTTTTTTTTTTAAATACATTTAACTTAACCTTACTCATTTTGATTTTTCAGTATAAATAGCAGTTTTTTAAATATTGGTAACTGACATTCCAGTGGTCAAAGCCAACTACTGTTTATAATTTTTGGCAGAAGTTCATTGCCCTCTCATGGAGAAGGGGGCAGTGAAGTTGTTTGGTCCCTCAGGCATGTTTTCGGAACAAGCATAGGGGTCTGTGCTTTTATATATACACACAGGGCTTATTAATTTAATTAATACATGTGTGTGTGTATAAATATATATATATATATATATATATATATATATATATATATATATATATATATATATATATATATATATATATATATATATATATATATATATATATATATTAGGCCATCCCATTTTGACCCTCATGAACAAATTTTATTTCACGAGGTGTCTCAAAATGTTCCTAAGATATTGGTTTGTTAATGAATTTTTTTTTTTTTTTTTCTGGATGAGTATTTATTCTCCCGCCATTCGTTTAAAGTTTAACTTTTTTACATTTTTTGAGTTTTTATGGGCAGTTTCAAATGATCAGCGCGAATAGAAATTTATAAACCTTTAACAATTTAACTGCGTCAATACAAAAAATGGAAGGTTTTTTATCCATACCGATTGTGCGCATTTTTATTATTATTATATTTGTTACCAGGTGGTACTTTAGAAACGCAAAAATCGAGTAATATTTACAAAAAAGCGCAGTTTAGAAAACAATTTTTTTATCGCGCTACTTAACAATTTTTAATTTTAAAAAATCTATTATTTCCACCTCAAGTAAGTTTATTATAACAACATAACATAATAATGCATGTTATATTTTATAATTATAGTTAAATGAATTAGGTTATTTAAACATTTATAATATTTTAAATGAACTTTTAAAAAATTTTAAACTTCATACAAATTATGAAAATGTTTATAGTGATTAACATTATGATCAATGAGTAACATTATGAAATTTTGTTTTAAAGCTAGCTATGACAACAAAAGCATCTGAGGTGTATCCCTGTCCCAAGAAGGGGATTAAAAAAAGAAGATCGAGTCGCAAGAACATGTTCCTAGTTAACGTCACTCTGGATAGAATGGAAACAAATCAGCTGCCCCTAAGGATTCACGTTATCCAACACTACTTATTTTTAAGAGAACAATTTCCAAAGAAAGCACTGAAGGATCTCATCGCTTGTCTTTTAATGTCCAAAACTTTCCAGTAAGCTTTTAGCTTTAGAAATCAATAGATAAGAATGTTATTTCATGTTTTATGTCAAATATAGTAAAGATAATTTAATAAGTTATGTTTTTAATTTACGGAAGTTCTTCATAGATTAAAATGCATAACAAACAATGAATTTTGCAATGTCAGTTGTATCCTTTCCGGAATCTTAATTCCTTGGAGAAAAACTGGCTTCAAAGTCATCAGTGACAAAAGGATGATGTTTCATGTCAAGAAGTATGTAGAAAAGTACATAGCATTGAAGAAATCCCAGAAAAAAATTGGAATTGGTTACCTTGATACAAGAAATAAATTTGAGAAATCAATGACAGGTAGGGGATAAATATTAAATATTAAGATTTTCTAGTCAAACAGCCAGTACTAAGCTAATTTATTGTGAAGTAAATAGTTTGCTTTTTCTTGTTCTTACCTAATAAAATTAAATTTAAAGGATTATTTTGGGCTGGAGAAGACATTACGCTTCTTGAACGTAGTTTAAAGACTGATAGGCTAAGACTGGAAGCAGATAAGATTGAAGATTTAACCTTCATACGGGAACGGCTAAGTTGCAGAAAGATGGTGATTGGAGCGTTGGACAGTCGGTTTGTAGATGTTAGTAATAGATCTGCATCAAGAAATAACTCTAAAACCTCTGGTATAGTAAAAAAAACTTTTTCTGGATTTTTTGGATTTTTCTGGATTTTCCTCTGAAAGTGAAATGATTACTGATGACTCTAATGATACATGTTCCGAAGATGATTTTAAGATTGGTAACACATCAACGAAGAAGACAGTTAAAAGTATGACTCTAAAGATACCAAAAGATATTTTTTCAAAAACTGCCAGAACTGCTATTGGGATGGGAATATCTACTAACCAGGCAACAGCACTTATCTCTTCTTTTCTTTGCAATGCCGGTGGAGATATAGAAAATGTAACATTATCCCACAGCTCAACTCAGGATTTTTG